AGGTAGCCATAGAAAAGGGTTATGCTATGTACAAGCCCCGATATCAGTCTAACCCCGGTCCGGCTCACCGGAAGGCCGTGAAAGATATCCTCAAGTACTTACGAAAGACTGAGGATATATTTTTGGTCTATGGGGGTGCCGAGTTGAAATTAGAGGGCTTCACCGACTCTAGTTTTCAATCGGATGTGGACGACTCAAATTCGAAATCGGGATTTATATTCACGCTTAATGGTGGTTCCGTGTGTTGGAAGTATTCCAAGCAGAGCACGACAGCTGATTGCACTACCCAACCGGAATACATTGTTGTCTACCGAGGCAACTCTCTCGAACTAAAGTTCGCCTCTACTAATTATCTTACTAATGAAATAATTTGTATTCAGTATCTGCTTGGATTTCTGATGAGATCTTTTGAATAAATACATTCAACATTTGAATGTAATTTCAAATCCAAGGTGCTACGTTTGCGTCATCCAATGCCGCATTATTCTAAGCCTCGGAGGTGGAATCCGCCGTCATGTTCCATTCGGAACTCTTTCCAACACACGGCACCCCGTTATGAAGCATGAATATAATCCCTCACGTTCTTTAAAGTTGTCCATTTCCGATTGAAACTCTAAAGTCGTCGAACGACTTTACTTTGAACTCGGAATCCCCACAGACTATATATGAACAAGTCCTTAGTACTTCGCAAGTATTCAAGGATTTCTTTCATATATATCCAACTAACTTGGCTGGGGTTAGACTGAAATCTACAGTGACGCTTCACTGCATAAACCATATCAAGTCTATAATATGAATTAGGGTAGCTAAGCAACCTCTTCGATTTATCTTTATAAATACGTATCCTCTAATACGTAGGAAGCTTACCCTAAATTCATTCATTGAGAAACGTGTGGACAACCGTGTTTTAGTTGACTGCAACATTCCTACATGATTCCCAATGAGTAAAATCCCACCAACACAAAACACTATTAAACGTAATGGCGCTCCCACTAACCTTCTTGCGAACTTAAGGCACTTTCAAACTCTTCACTAAATCAAATCCCTTTGATTTTCGTGTGGAATCATACATTCTAATTTAATGGGATGCTAGGTTCAATCCACAAATGGATCGCTGGAATTTTGCAAACAGTTTGCCAATTTCGACAAGATGTGAAGCCTTCCGGCTGTTCCACTCCGATTCCCTCAATCTCGCCATTGAGGAAGGTGGTTTTCACATTCATTTTCCATATCTCGTAGTCATACTACGCAGAAATGGCTAACAAAGTCCTAATGGATTCTAAGCACAACTATTTGTGAAACTTTATCTCATAGACAACAACTTGTCTTAGAGTATAACTATCTTTCACGTATCTAGCTTTATAGGTCGATACCTTTCCATCTATTCCAATCTTAAAGATTGTAGATCCACTTGCATCCAACGGGAAAAATTCCCTTGGGTGGATCCATCAAGGTCCATACCTTGTTAGAATATATGGAATCCATTTTGGATTTCATGGCTTCACGCCAATGTCCCTTGTCTGCATCAAATACAGACACATTGAAGGTACTTGGATCATATTCGAGGTCAAACTCATTTTGACTACCTTCGATGATCATAAGCCTATTAAGTTCTCTATGGATCCTTTCGAATCTCCACATAGTTGGTTGAGAAGGTACATTAATGGGTGATTAGATTTTGATTGGCTCTTGTCCTATTTATGGTGTTGGAACTTGAATTCGTGGTTCTCGAATTTCTTCGAGTTCTACCATACACTTATTTTATCACATAGAAACTTCTTCTTTAAGAAGGTGACATTCCCCGAGACGAACAATTTTGTTTCAAGGGATAGTAGAATAAGCATCAAAAACAATTTTGAGATACCCCACGAAATGACATAAGTTGGATCGACTATCCAACTCGTCTCCCACTAGCCATTTCATGTAAGTGGATTATCGGGTATGCCGTTGTTCATATGGTGTGGAACAAACTGTTTTAGTGTTAACCCTATTCAACAAATACGCGGCAGTTAGGAGTGCATGACCCCACAGATATGCCGGCATCTCGGTGAACCCCATCAAAGATCGAACCATGTCCAACAGGGTTCGATTCTGACGTTCGAACACTCCATTCAATTGAGGAGTTCCATTGAGAGAGAGAATCTTATTCTCCTTTAGACAGTCAATAAGCTCAGCGCTTAAGTATTCGCCATCACGATCGAATCGCAGCTTCTTAATACGGCGACAAGTTGGTTTTCTACTTGGTGTCTAAATCTTTGAACCCTTCAAAAATTTCAGACTTGTACTTCATTAAGTACACGAAACCATACCTAGAAAAATCATCGGTAAAGGTAACGAAGTAGTTGAAACCACACCTTGCACTAACACTTAGTGGGCCACACATCTCTGTATGGATCAAATCCAAGAGACCTTCGGCACGTTCCATTTGCCCTTTGAATGGCGACTTGGTCATTTTTCCTTTAAGACAAGATTCACAAGTTTGAAGTGAGTTCTCATCATCCAAGGTGAATAATCCCTCACGAACAAACTCGTTCATCCTTCTTAAAGAGATGTGACCTAGTCGGGGCGTGCCAAATTTTTGCGGGGTTTTGACTTCTATATCAAGTTCTGGTTAACCTAAAGTTCATTGGATTATACTTCATATAAGTTCAATGAATAACGTATCTTTCTCACAACATTTCTGAGCAAGACACTCCTTACAGTTTACAGAGCCTAATGGTCTGTCTTTCCACATTGGAAGCAAGCATCACTTATATGCTTGTTTTCTTTGGCCTTGTGAATACTTGATTTACCCCTAGTCTATCTTTTGCTAGGCCGGAAACTATTTTCCTTTTACTATCTTCTTCGACTTTGAACTATTCTTAGTAAAAGATATAGAAACTACCAAATGCAAAACATACTTCTCTTCCTTTATAACCGACTCGTATTACAACATGTTGACCAACTCCTTCAAAAGGAGATTCAACCATATTCTTGTTGAAACTAATTATGAACGTTTCATAATAGTTAGTGAGTGATGGAAGTATGAGATACCGAGATCTCTGATGGGAGAACGACGTTGTGGTCACACAACTTCTTTAAGAGTGAGTCATCTTAAAACCATGCTTCAAGGCCGTAGTCCTCTAGCTCAGTCTAAGAGACATCAACTCATCAGTTGTCGCGAACCTCATTGCCTTAATGTTCTCACCACACATGATCTCAAGGCGAGCCTATATGTCAATAACATAAAGGTGGTTCTCATAGTTCCTTGCTAACTTGGGCGACTAGGTGCTATCGTATAACACTTCGTCGTAATGGACACCCTTCTTCCACTTCTAATAAGTGGTGGTTCCCTAGTGAGTCGAGTTATCATGAAGTTTGGTCGGGGTATTTATTTGAGTATGCACAATTTGCTCTTGGAGCAAACGCGCCAAACGAATTTTATTGAGCCAATCAAGGTAATTATTGCCATTAAGTTTTGTTCGTATCGAGAATTGACGATAAGGGATTCTTAGCATTTATACTGAAACTTTTAAGTAGACTTACATAAAAGATATTTCATTATTAATTAATGCAATTAAAGATTTGGACTTTTATCATTTAATTGTTCTCCCACTAATTTTATCGAATTCCACCACCCTCTAGCAGACAGACGAGAAAACGTATTTTTCCTTAATGGGCTTTAGGTCCAATAGCGCAAATGTAACCCATAGTTACTCTAGCCCGATTATATAAGCCTAAAGGTAGAGTACTATCTATCACATCACTATGTGACCCTAAAGATTGTTTTACCTCACACTTGATAATGACCTAAGTTAATCTCGCGAATATCAAAATCTTCGTGTGTCAAGTCTAGCCTACCAATGTGAGATGTCATGGATCCAACTCTATCAAACTAATGCAGTCCCTAGTTAATCTAGCCGACCACATTAATCCAATAGAATTTTATCTACAACTGTATCTCCATCTAATGTCAATTAAATTACAGCTTATCCCATAATAGCACTCCCCGCTAACACGGCTTACTGCACTATTATGAGAGGCTACACGTAATCTAACCGTTGGTAGAAGGAAAGAAGAAAGAACGACAAATCGGTTCTCTTTTATAGCTTGATAATTATTCTTAGAAATTAAGAATGAGGGATTTTTATTAAGTTATGGTTATCTCATCAGAATTATTGGTTATGATCGTTTGGGATTCCTACAACTATGTTCTCTAATGTGAAAACGCATATTGATCCTAAGAGAGACATACGATCATCATCGTACTTAATTACAATTATTCATCATATGAATTAATAAATTAAAACGATTAAATGAAAAATAATTAACGGACTTCTTTCATTCATAAATCAATCAAATAAGAACGAGACCCATTAATTATTTGCCATGTAATATCATTTGTGTTCCATTTATTAAATTAATTTAACAATTAAATTAATAAATCAATCCAACACTATTCTTTGAATTCAAATTAAATTAAGGGGTAATGGCAAATAGGCCCATGACAAGGGCACTTAATTAAAAGAGGGACATCCAATTTTTTTGTCTTTCAAATAAATCCAACGCATTCAAAGGCTCCGTTTGATAGGATTAAGTGCTTAATGCTGAATACTGAATAAATATCTGAATGGGTAAGAGCTGTGTCTGATTGCTGAATGCTGAATAATTAAGTTCATTTGATCACTGTATATCTGTAATGTCTGAATACTGTAATTTTCCTGATATACCCTTGTATAATTCTGAAACATTATTGTTAATTAAATTTGATTAGAATATATGAATAAACATACTTTTTTAGCATGATTTACTTTAGTAAATTATAAAAATTTGGCGGACATTACATATAAACTATAATATTTAACATAGACAAAATATAAATTTCAAATTTTAAATTCAAACGACTAATAAAAATAAAATTCATAAATAAAAGCAGAGAAAATATAAAAATACATTAAAGTAATTAAATTTGGCTGAAAAATATTAATCGCTAAAATTAACATGAAAAAAATTAATAAATTCTAATTGGTCCTGGTTCCTCCAGGCATCAATCGGGTTGCTATCTCATCGCGCACATTTGCCATGTATTGCATGTCTTCGTCCCCCCACCATGGCCCAGTAGTTGTACCATCATTCACAAGGTTTTGCTCATCCTCATTCGTACCGTCAAATGGCATATTAGGTTGATCAAATTCCTCAAAAAGTGTATCACTTATACGCTCTTTCCTTATAAAATTATGCACCGCAAAACAAGCAATCACTATATTTCTCTGCACATTAAACGAAAAAGGGGCCATTTTTTGTAAAATCGAAAATCTTTTCTTCAGAACTCCATAAGCTCGTTCGATAACATTTCTTAGTTGAGCATGAGCATGGTTAAATCTTTCTTCTTTAGTTAAAGGACGCCTACGACGATAATCTCCTAACCAATATCGTACATTACGATATGGAACCATAAATCCTCTAGTATGTGTATATGCAGCATCACAAAGATAGTATTTACCTGTAACCATTATAATTATAAAGTAATATCAAATTTAACGTATAAATATTAAGAATTTAGTTTGAATTTAAATTAATACCAGGTGGAGGCCATGGAAACCCGTTTCTTGGATCAGCAACTGTATCTGTTAAGACTCTTGAATCATGTGTTACCCCTTCCCAGCCTGCCCAAACGAACGTAAAAATCATATTAAAGTCGCATATTCCTAAAATATTTTGATAACATTCTCCCTTTCCTCTACCCCTATACATAGTCTGCTGTGAAATTGGAACAATGGCAGGTATTAATGTTCCATCAAGTGCACCAACTGCTCCCTACATTTAAATAAAATAAAAAATGTATGCAAACATTAGAGAATTTACAAATCTAAAGAAATAAAATAATGACAAAAGAAATATACAATGCACAAAAACATCTACCTTAAAAATGCGGTTTAACCTCCTAAAACTTGCTAACATGTTTGGATTTGGGTCAAATGTTGTGGGTACTATTACCTCCCTTGCCATATTCATCATTGCACTCAACACTTCGTGAAAACACGCATGAACTGTTTGTGAAGAGTGTTGAAATCTACGCTTCACCACACGAAGACGCTTATTATGCCCAATAATCTGCAAGAACATTGCCATTTTTTCTTCTACAGATATGTGTATACTATCATGTAGCCACCCTCTTTGTCTAAAATGCATGCTCAAACGAATATACGCAATACGAGACATGCGCATTAAATCCATACATTGTGTGTCTGACCCAGACAATAGCTCTAACGTGTAAGCATGACCCGACAATGCTGAGTTGTTATCTATATTTCTTGGTACACGCATTAAATGTCGCGGTCGAATTTGTGTGTACCAATAGATCATCATCAATATCATAATCTCATAAATTTCCATATTTAACCTGTTAACATAAATGAATAATGCAATTAAATATTTAAGAATCAACATTTCCTAAGCAAATAACTAAATCATAAAGAGAATCCAACTCACAAGGCAAATATAAAACAAAGTCTATCATTATTAAAAACAAAAAACACGCAAAGTTCATAACTATTGTACGGAAATTTAAAAAAAAAATCAATAAAAGTAAATACTACTGAAATCTTAAAATTAATTTGCATAAATCCTTGCAAGTTAAAATTCAAATCCCATATTTTGTCCAATTCTTTTAATCCATACTTTCAGAACGCCCACATTATCCTTAGGAAACGCCATCCAAGCTTCTCTATGTCCCGCGCAACTACCAAATATCACAACAGCAGACACATAAAAGATGTCTTCTTTATCCCATCCAAGTTCATCCAATTTAGCAATGCAATCTGTAACTGACGGTCCACTGTTTTTTTTTATCATTAACTTCAAAGCAGCTGACTTCTCTTCTATTAAGTTATTATCACTAGACGAAGGTCGGATCTTTTTCTTTTTCTTTTTAGGCTCTTCTCCTCGTGAGTGATGGTTGGAATCATTACTCTGAGTGTCTGTGGTAGGGACAAAAGTTTCATCTTCATCACCAAACAAAATATCTTCTATGTCATTTTGTTCCGCATTTCGAACAGTTAAAGAAAATGAGCTAGTCCCAGGATTTGGGTCTTGGGAACTAGGACCCCAAGAATGAACCCCTGTAGCAGTGGTTCCATCAAATAGTGTTCTACAAAGGTCAGGATACGGTAAGGGGGCAAGTCTTAAACTCTTTGCCTTAGGATGAGCCTGTATTTAGGTATGAAATAATAATTCTTAATATAGTGGAATAGTTAATGAAAATTACTTAGATAACACAGTGAAGAACTTAAACACTAGACCTTTATATACTCTGTCCACTCATTCTTCGTCATGTTGATGGTGTTGGTCGCATGATTGTAAATATTGCCTGTTTTCATTGTTAACGCCAACCAAGCTTGATACTTTTGTTTTAAGTAGTCGTATCTATTCTTCATTTGTCTTTGAGAAACCACAAAATTATAATTATTCTTGAGAGTATCCATAATCTTGGCCCAAGATTCAGCCTTAAGGCTTCCTCCTTCCCTGCCATTGAGAGCAACTTCTTGGATACATGCTTCGAGAAAACATTTATCTACTTCAATATTGTTCCATCTGACTCTATTATTTTCCTCTGATTCTTCCATCCCTATGCTCATGGATATTTATGCGCAAAAGAAAATTTTAAACCAACATACAGTATCACATATTATTACTACAAACTACCGACAAACAAAAAACATAATAAGAAAATAAAGTTAAGAAGCCTTGTGAAAAAATTAAACTAGCATATAATAGCACATGTCCTGCAGAAAATATTTGAGAAATTTATTTCTCAAAAGTCAATATGCATACCATAGTCAACTTGCATACCCATAAAAACTCATATATATAATATTTAAATGCATCAGTGAGAGGTGTGGAAAAATCCATAAATTTGGCTAATGCATTTACAGTAGGTTGACCAATATTGATATTTATGTGACTTTCAAGTGTGCAACTTTGGCACTTTGCTAATAATATATCCTAGTAGATTTATTATTCAACCACTAATAGTCTAATATCATTATTTTTACTCAGCTCCAGCCTCCATGCATGAGTTCCATATAAACAATCAAAGCTTAATTGTGTAGTCGTGACGACTCAACTAACCTTTCTTCTTGCTCATGATTATTGAAAAATAATGCACAAAATACATATATTGTTGATAGGAGAAACTAGGAAAAAGGAAAAAAAAAAAAAAGGAATAAAAAAAACAAAACAATTCTAACTCAGACCTTGCAAAAGTAGTAGAAGGTTCCACTCTTTTAATTTGAGATATCATTCAAGGTTGTATTATGTTTTTTGTTTAATCTAGCAATTTTTACTAATCCGTTTACTTAAATTTATCCCAATCCTTAACAGTTAATACAGTACATAAAATTTTGGCATGGTGATATAAATTTGATTGGTATGATAACGATTTTTATTGGAATTAAGAATATATATATATATATATATATATATTCTTAATTCCAATAAAAATCATTATGATACCAAACAACAACAGTATTACCTACACTTGTTTTTGGTTGCAGGGATCTTCAATTACAGAATGTGTAGATAGTTGGAGATATCAGCATATTTGATACGGAAGCTTCTCATGACAGAATATTTTCCATTTAAATATTTGAGGTACCAATTTGTTGCTTGATTCAACTATTATTATTAATTATTACTGGTCATGCTCGTGAAATTTTCTACGCTCACTTAATACAGCATATGAAAAACTACCGTGATCTTCCTAAGAAGATATCCAAGTTGATGAAATCCGAGAGGGAGATTGATGAAAGAAGAAAGATGAAACTTACCGAATAATTTTCGTTTATGGTTTTTGACAGAAGCTTCGAAGCCGCCAAGAGCAGATTGTTAATGGAGATGGAGAGGACAACTATCGTTTTATGAAGTAGGGTAAAAAATCAAAATTTTATTTAAAGATAAAAGAAGGATAAAATAGTCCAAAATTTATTCAGATTTGCCTCTGACCGAATAAGCGTCTAATTTTCCGCGGAATCGTTAAGAGATATGTGGACCAATTCAGAAGTTGCAAACAAACACCCTTAATGATTACACTGCTGACCGAATCAGCAATTGAATCATTAAGTGGCCCATTAAGCAAAATCAAACGGAGCCGTAATCTAACCGTTGGTAGAAGGAAAGAAGAAAGAACGACAAATCGGTTCTCTTTTATAGCTTGATAATTATTCTTAGAAATTAAGAATGAGGGATTTTTATTAAGTTATGGTTATCTCATCAGAATTATTGGTTATGATCGTTTGGGATTCCTACAACTATGTTCTCTAATGTGAAAACGCATATTGATCCTAAGAGAGACATACGATCATCATCGTACTTAATTACAATTATTCATCATATGAATTAATAAATTAAAACGATTAAATGCAAAATAATTAACGGACTTCTTTCATTCATAAATCAATCAAATAAGAACGAGACCCATTAATTATTTGCCATGTAATAACATTTGTGTTCCATTTATTAAATTAATTTAACAATTAAATTAATAAATCAATCCAACACTATTCTTTGAATTCAAATTAAATTAAGGGGTAATGGCAAATAGGCCCATGACAAGGGCACTTAATTAAAAGAGGGACATCCAATTTTTTTGTCTTTCAAATAAATCCAACGCATTCAAACTTATTTGCAAATAAGGAAAATCCTTTCATATATACCAAAATTACCCCCAATTCATTGAAACCCAATTCAACTCCAATTTCATGATTTACACCATAATTTAGCCCAATTTCATCAATTAACCAATTTTAACCACAATTTCAATTTTGATCCCAATTTTAACACTAATTCTTACCAATTCCACCAATTATGCTCTAACTTCCTTAATATTACACATTGACCCCGGATTTAAACAAATATATCACATTAACCCCCAAAACTTTTTTTTTTTGCAGAAAATAATTGTTTTCCTGAAATATTTTTTTTCCGGCCAGATTCCGGCGTTGACCGCCGGTCTCCGGCGTTGACTTTTTTTTTTTTTTTTTTAATTTTGTTTTTTCTTAAAAAAATATTTTAATTAATTTTACTGTCTTGACTGCTAAATTACTGTCTCCGGCAGCTATTTAACTGTCGGAGACAGTAATTTAACTGTTAATTGACTCTTTTTTTTTTTTTTTCTTCAATTTTTTTTTAATTAATATTACTGTATTCGTTGCTAAATTACTGTCTCCAGCAGTTATCTAACTGTCGGAGACAGTGATTTAACTGTTAATTGACTTTTTTATTCTGAAAAAAAATATTTTTAATTAATATTACTGTATTCGTTTGCTAAATTACTGTCTCCAGCAGTTATTTAACTGTCGGAGATAGTAAATTTAACTGTTAATTGGCTTTTTTTCATTTTTTTTCTTAAAATTTTTTTTTTTAATTAATAGTACTGCCTTAGATGTTAAATTACTGTATTCAACAGTAATTTAACTGTCTTAGACAATAATATTAATAATATTACTGTTCGGAAAAATAATATTCATAATATTACTGTTCGGAAAAAATACTATTCATAATAATACTGTACCAAACAGTAATATTACTGTCTGAGACAGTAATTTAGTAGCTAAAACAGTAATATTAATTAAAATATTTTTTTTCTAAGAAAAAAATTTCAATAAAAAAAAAAAGTCAACGCCGGAGACCAGCGGTCAGCGGCGGTCAACGCCGGAATCTGGCCGGAAAAAAAACATTTCAGAAAAAAAATTATTTTCTGAAAAAAAAAAGTTTTGGGGGTTAATGTGATATATTGTTTAAATCCGGGGTCAATGTGTAATATTAAGGAAGTGAGCATAAAGGGTGGAATTGATAAGAATTATATTATTGAGGGTATTTTAGACTAAAGACATAGGGATGGACTTAATTGAGAGACTGTTTTTTTTTTTTGGACTAAAATGCATTTAAGTCCTATGTGATGGGCCTTTTTGCCATTTGCCCTTAAATTAATCGATCAATTATCTAATTGGGCTTAATTGATATATAATTTCAAAAATTAAAAATCAATTTGTTTCAATTTTAATTTCAGAAATTTAAAATAATTTTTTTTTTGTTTTTGTTTCGTTGCTGACCGGACCGGTCATCTGTAGAAAATCAGAAAAATAAAATTCAGAATTTTCGATTTTTCAAATTCTACAATTTCTGAAAATATTCAAAATATTCAATTAAAATTAAAACACCCAATTTCGATAATACAAAAAATTTAACAATTCAACAAATTAAGCATGCTATTGAAAGCGATTAAACACGTTGACAATTAATCGATTACCCGTGGCTCTGATACCACTGTTGGGGATCGATGCATGTATACGCAGCGGAAAACAAAATTTAATTGAACTCAATGTTCGATCACATGCATAAATCAATTAATTGAACGTACCTTAACGCTTCCGCCATACACATGGTAATTTTTCATGTTTTAATCGAAATTAAATAAAACGAAAAACAAAGACGAGCATGCTTGCATACGACATCATGAAATCAAAAACATACATTCTTCATATAATTTTCATGCTCACAAATTAGTTCACATAATCCAATTATGAATTAATTCGCAGGGGTTTTCGATTTTACCTCTTGAAGCGTGACATTTCGACGAATCGAAATCTATAAACTAAGACACGTACAAGCTGCTATTAAACAACTCCAAGGTTGCGAAGAACCGACCGAACAGCAGCTGGTCCGATCTGATCTCGACGGCGGCACATGAGGTGCAGCGGCGGCGGCGCGTGGCAACGGCGACGGCGCGTGCGGGGCTGGCGGTGGTGGAGTTGCGTTCTTCCTCTCCAATTAGGTTTCACCTCGTACAACTAGACCCACTCTAACTGCAGCACTAGATACAGAAGAGTTAGAAAAACAACGGGAATAAAGACGAGGAAGAAAAGAGAAGAAACCGGCGGCGGCAGAGCGGCGGCGCGACGGCGGTGCGGCGGTGCTGCGGCGGGGCTGCAGCCGTGAGGCGGAGGACGGCCGTGCTTCATGCGGCTAGGGTTTGGGGCTGTCAAATCTCATCTAAACTCATCATATGAGTTGTATTTATACTAGGGTTCATAACCCTCATGGGCTTAAGTCATTGGGGTTGACCCACTGATCCATTAAGCCCACCCCTTCGTCGGCCTCGTTTCTTATAAACGATCGTCCACAAAATTATAACAAAATTATATTTGTGACGAGCATAAAGTCCTCGTCGGTACGAGTGCCTCTTTGAAATTTTCAGTTTCCAAAATTGGAAACTTCTAATTTAGTGGACCTGCTAAATCGGGAAACTTCCCAATTTAGAAAGTTCACTAAATTTTCGCATATCTCTTTCTCTCCGTTTATTCCAACACGTAATCCACAATTACGAATCTTAGATTCAATCATATTGACATCCAACTACGCAAAGATTAACACATTAATCTATGCTTGTTGTTTTTCAAGGATCCATGTTACACGAGAACTGTGACCCTCAATGGTTCAGGTGTAAACTAGCCGTGGGCTCACAACTCTTTGTGATTCGAACAACACATTGTTCTTATACGAACTCCTCCCAAGAGTCCCGATTAGAGTAAAACTCATTTTACTCAATCGCCGATCAAATCGGTGC